TTTTATGTATGTGTTGACCCATTTTATTTATGTGTTGACCCATTTTATATATGTGTTGACCCCATTTTATATATGTGTTGACCCGTTTTATGTATGTGTTGACCCGTTTTATGTATGTGTTGACCCATTTTATGTATGTGTTGACCCATTTTATGTATGTGTTGACCCATTTTATGTTTGTGTTGACCTGTTTTATGTATGTGTTGACCCGTTTTATTTATGTGTTGACCCGTTTTATGTATGTGTTGACCAATTTAATGTATGTGTTGACCTGTTTTATGTTTGTGTTGACCCATTTTATGTATGTGTTGACCCATGTTATTTATGTGTTGACCCATTTTATGTTTGTGTTGACCCGTTTTATGTTTGTGTTGACCTGTTTTATTTATGTGTTTACCCGTTTTATGTATGTGTTGACCCGTTTTATGTATGTGTTGACCTATTTATTTATGTGTTGACACATTTTATGTATGTGTTGACCCGTTTTATGTATGTGTTGACCCATTTGATGTTTGTGTTGACCCGTTTTATGTATGTGTTGACCCGTTTTATGTATGTGTTGACCCATTTTATGTTTGTATTGACCTGTTTTATGTATGTGTTGACCCATTTTATTTATGTGTTGACCCATTTTATTTATGTGTTGACCCGTTTTATGTATGTGTTGACCCGTTTTATGTATGTGTTGACCCATTTTATTTATGTGTTGACCCATTTTATGTATGTGTTGACACGTTTTTTTTATGTGTTGACCCGTTTTATGTTTGTGTTGACCCATTTTATGTATGTGTTGACCCATTTTATGTATGTGTTGACCCATTTTATGTATGTGTTGACCCATTTTATTTATGTGTTGACCCATTTTATGTATGTGTTGACCCATTTTATGTATGTGTTGACCCATTTTATGTATGTGTTGACCCATTTTATGTATGTGTTGACCCGTTTTATGTATGTGTTGACCCGTTTTATTTATGTGTTGACCCATTTTATTTATGTGTTGACATGGTTTTTTTATGTGTTGACCCGTTTTATTTATGTGTTGACCCATTTTATGTATGTGTTGACCCATTTTATGTTTGTATTGACCTGTTTTATGTTTGTGTTGACCCATTTTTTTTATGTGTTGACCCATTTAATTTATGTGTTGACATGTTTTTTTTATGTGTTGACCCGTTTTGTGTATGTGTTGACCCCTTTTATGTATGTGTTGTCCCAGTTTATGTATGTGTTGACACGTTTTTTTTATGTGTTGACGCGTTTTATTTATGTGTTGACCTGTTTATGTTTGTGTTGACCCATTTTTTGTATGTGTTGACCCTTTTTATGTATGTGTTGTCCCAGTTTATGTATGTGTTGACCCCTTTTATGTATGTGTTGACACGTTTTATGTATGTGTTGTCCCAGTTTATGTATGTGTTGACCTGTTTATGTTTGTGTTGACCCATTTTATGTGCTGATTCTGATGCTGTATTATTTTGTTGAAGTTCAAACAGTTGCTGATGATCGGTGGAGTAGACAGATATTTCCAGATAGCCAGATGTTACCGAGACGAGGCTCAGAGACCAAACAGACAACCTGAGTTCACTCAGGTCAGAGTTCATTGTCACATTAAACTTCTGGATCAATTCATGTGAAAGTTACCAGTAATTGTAAAGTAAAACATTTTGTAATAATTTATCTTAATACATTGGAAGAAATGTTCTTATTCAGTCCCTAAGATTAAATTCTTTGTAAATAATCTTCTGTTTGTTCCACTGGTCTTGTAGACCCCCTTTTTGAGTTAACGAGTATTTGACAGAATTTAACTCGTTAACTTCTCTTGTTAATTATTCCAGGAAACAATTGACATTCTAATTTCGATGAAATATAAACTTTTCAAAATTGTCCAAGTCTCATTTTTCTCACGCCTCATTCCTTACGGGCAATAAGCATCTTTTCTGTTAGTTGTAGATTCAGAAAATATTTTTTAACTGCATTGTTTAACTTATTTTATATGAATGAGGTTCAAAGTTCATTGTTTTTCTTTCCAGTTGGACATAGAAATGGCCTTTACCTCACAGACACACATAATGAGTTTAATAGAGAGACTATTACACCACTGCTGGCCCCGGGGGGCAGGGACCTTACCAGACACCTTCCCTGTCATGAAGTATGAACAAGCATTAAGGGAGTACGGCACGGACAAACCAGACACAAGGTTTGACATGAAGGTCGGTTATTGGCAATAGTAGTGAAAATTCAAAACCTTTAATTGAATTCTAAAAACATTTTTTTTAAGCCATCAATCCACCTAAGCTGGGGCACACATCTGTGGAATTCTTGTAGAATCGAAAAATTTGTGGAACTAGCTAATGATTGCACCAATGTGGTGTTGTTGACAGTACAAAACTTTGGGTAAAACATTGATTACTTCGTTATGTATTATCAAAGGGTTGTCTTCAATTACGAAAAGTAATACTTCTCTAGGCATTTCAAAAAAAAATCTGCCCAAAGGGCCTAGTGAGCTGATGCCGTGGTGCATCATCCGTTCGCCTTCCAGCGTCAATATTTTACTTTAAACAACTTCTTAATAACCAAAAAGCCTAGGGTGATAATGATATTTGGCCAGAAGCAAACTGGGATGAAAGGCTACCAAGTTTGTCCAAATAAATGACCTTTACCAATTTTCAGGGTCACAGGGGTCAAATATGTTAAAAACTTTAAACAACTTCTTCTGAATAACCAAAATGCCCAGGGGGATGATATTTGGCCAGTAGCATGCTGGGATGAAGGGCTACCAAATTTGTTAAAATGAATGACCTTGAATTGTTTTCAAGGTAACATAGATCAAATATGTTCAAAACCTCTCAACAGCTTCTTCTGAATAACCAAAAGTCGTAGGATGATGATATTTGGCCTGTAGCATAATCGGATGAAGGCTACCAAGTTTGTTAAAATGAATGACCTTGACATATATTCAAGGTCACCGGGATCAAATATGTTCAAAATCCTAAAAAGACTTCTTCTTTATAACCAAAATGCCCAGGATGTTGATATTTGGCCAGTAGTATGTTAGGATAAAGGGCTTCCAAGTTTGTTCAAATGAATGACCTTGAATTCACAGGGCTCAATTGTCTTAAAAAATCTTTATACGACTTCTGATGAATATCCACAAGGACCAGTATGGTGATATTTGGCCAGTAGCATTCTAGAATGAAGGGCTACCAAGTTTGTTCAAATGAATGACCTTGAAATATTTTTTAAGGTCACAAGGATCAAATATGTTCAAAACCTTTAAACAACTTCTTCTGAATATAACCAAAAGGTGCAGCAGGATGATATTTGGCCCGTAACATAATGGGATGAAAGGCTACCAAGTTTGTTCAAACGAATTACCTTCACTCATATTCAAAGTCACAGGGATCAAATATGTTTAAAATGTTAAACGACTTCTGAATAGCCATAAGGCCTAGAATGTTGATATTTGGTTAGTAGCATGCTGAGATGAAGGGCTATCAAGCATTTGAATGACCTTGAACGACTTTCAAGGTCACATTTTGTCAAATATGTATAAACATGTTTGTTCAACGTAATGACCTTGTTCGACTTTCAAGGTCACATTAGTGAAATGTTTTTAAAAAAAATATCAGGTTCTTTTGAATGACTTATAGTCATAAATACTGATATTTTGCCTGTAACTTTATTTTAGATCACTTTTAATGTTACAAGTGTGAGATGTATACCAAGTGAGCGATGCAGGCCCATTGGGTCTCTTGTTATTAATTTCAATCTTTTTCTTTTTTTGACATTTAAGCTTCAAGACATTAGTGATGTGATGTCGGACTGTGGCGTTGTTCGACTTGCAAGTGCAGAAACTGTTATCGCCTTGAGGATACCTGAGGGACAAGTAAGTGCAGAAACTGTTATCGCCTTGAGGATACCTGAGGGTCAAGTAGGTTCAGCTTCGATACAAGACCACATCAAAGATAAAAAGCTTAGGACATTCCAGGGCATTCGTCTTTTTGTAAAAAAGCAAGGGTTTTCATCGCTAACTCAAAGTAAAAACTAGTGTTTCATGAAAAGTAATAAAATTCTTCTTTAAGGATACAGAGAGTCCATTTTGCAGTTGTTGGTGTTTTTTTGGAAAAACATAGCCAAAGACATCTATCAACATAAAAGTCTCTTCAAGCTGTTAAACCTGTCTTCTGATAATTTGACTTTCATTCAATAACAAAAGTTGTAAGTTGGGGATCCTTAAGAAGATTATCTTTCCTCACCAAATTGTTCAGGGCAGATATCTCGTTGTTCCTCGAATGCCTGCAGAAAGCATGCATTGCTTCATAAAAAAATATACACTCTATTTATTCTACAACCATTATGAAACAATTTTTCGCCTTGGTGAAAGGCGAGTGCAATTTATCCACTGCGCCACCCGACCACCCATCCTTTTATTAGAAGGACGATTAATTACAGTCAAACTTCGGCAGGAGACAACCTCCATCTAGAGACCAACTGTGTTAGGAGACCAGTATTAGGGTCCTCCACCTGTGTTAGGAGACCAGTATTAGGGTCTTCCACCTGTGTTAGGAGACCAGTATTAGGGTCCTCCACCTGCGTTAGGAGACCAGTATTAGGGTCCTCCACCTGTGTTAGGAGACCAGTGTTAGGGTCCTCCACCTGTGTTAGAAGACCAGTTTTAGGGTCCTTGACCTGTGTTAGGAGACCAGTTTTAGGGTCCTCCACCTGTGTTAGTAGACTAGTTTTAGGGTCCTCCACCTGTGTTAGGAGACCCGTATTAGGGTCCTCCACCTGTGTTAGGAGACCACTATTAGGGTCCTCCACCTGTGTTAGGAGACCAGTGTTAGGGTCCTCCACCTGTGTTAGAAGACCAGTTTTAGGGTCCTTGACCTGTGTTAGGAGACCAGTTTTAGGGTCCTCCACCTGTGTTAGGAGAGCAGTTTTAGGGTCCTCCACCTGTGTTAGAAGACCAGTTTTAGGGTCCTTGACCTGTGTTAGGAGACCAGTTTTAGGGTCCTCCACCTGTGTTAGAAGACCAGTTTTAGGGTCCTTGACCTGTGTTAGGAGACCAGTTTTAGGGTCCTCCGCCTGTGTTAGGAGACCAGTATTAGGGTCTTCCACCTGTGTTAGGAGACCAGTATTAGGGTCCTACACCTGTGTTAGGAGACCAGTTTTAGGGTCCTCCACCTGTGTTAGAAGACCAGTTTTAGGGTCCTTCACCTGTGTTAGGAGACCAGTTTTAGGGTCCTCCACCTGTGTTAGGAGACCAGTATTAGGGTCCTCCACCTGTGTTAGGAGACCAGTATTAGGGTCCTCCACCTGTGTTAGGAGACCAGTATTAGGGTCCTCCATTGTAGTGATTTGTTTATAAACTGAACATGTATTAAGAGACCACCTGCACTAAGCAGTGATTTTCTTAACCTCTTTCCCACAGGGGCCTGTGCCTGTTGATTCAGATAAATATTACACACAAAAACATTATTTGGGGAAAAAAGTGACTTTTGCATTGGTTTTGGGAAAAAAATTGCAGATATCCAGGGGAAAGGGGTCTTAATAAGGCCCAAAATGGACCTTAAAAAGACTACATTTTGGACTTTGCAAGGGTGGTCTTTTAATACAGGCTTAGCTGTTAATTAAATCTTACCATGCTGGCAATGGACCAACACTTTTATTGGTTAATAGCCATGTTTTATTGAACAATAACCAATCTGCTTGCATGTATTATCTTCAAGTAAATCATGCGTGTACAACACTCATCCTAAATCTCCTCATTATTGCAAATGCAATCACAAGAGATGCTTGACATGTCCTGGACAAGTGAGGACAGGTTAGCTTGGTTGTGTGAAGAAACACCGGTGCCTGTACATATCTTATCATCTCAACATACAGCCACATCCAGAGTTTATGACATCAGCTGTGCTCAGCTTGTTGGTGAATCGAAACTAGGCATCAGGTCACAGATTAATTGATTGAATCTGTGAAAGAAGAGCCTGATTTAAATATATAGATGATCAAGGTCTTGTTGCCGTATAGGTGCTGAAGTAAACAAGACAATACAACCCCATTTACGTTATCCTGTGGTAGAATCAACTGTTGTTTGTATATGAAAGATATTGGAACAATAGTTTCATTTATACGTTATTGCAAAGCTGAAGACAACACATGTCAATTTAATTTCTATTTTCCAAGTAAAATTAGGACCTGGTTCCTAGTTACACCAAGATCAGTCTGTAAATCATAAAGTAAAGAGCAAAAATAGTGTATGTAGTCAAGTGGTCTTTTTAATTTTTTGTTTAATTTTTATTTGCGTGGCTCCTTGTTTAATTTTCTTTATACTTGCTTTTTTCCTTTTTTTGACAGAAATACTTTTCCAACAAAGAACTAGATACCCTTTGTAAGCCAGTCAGTGATGATGATAAAACAGTAAGTATAGAATTCCCATTTCAAGGTTTTCATCCCTCATGTTGAAGCTGTGCATGTATAGTTTCTGGGTAACAACATTAAGAAAGTGACAGGTCTTGAGTTGGATTCCTGAAGTTGTTTTTCTTTGTTTATTACTATTGTTTTGTTTTCAAAAACCCAAATTCTGAACAACTGTATTTAAATGTATAGCTTTACAATTTATTTGGAACTCTTTTATTATCTTCCCTCAACCTCCTATACCCCTACAGAATAGTGAATAGTTTACCTCTGAACTCTCTAAATTTTGCTCATTTACTAATGTATTTTCCCAAAATTATTTTGAGAAGTGATTTTCATTTGTGAATTTCTGTAGAAAAATCACGGGTTACAGCTATTCTGTGTTCTTTATTTCTTCAGAGATTTCTGTGGAATATGGTTTGTGAATCACAAGAAATGTGTATGAAAAGAGACACACACATCAGGGGTATACAATTTCTTATCATGGCTACTGTACTACTGGATTAACTTTTAATCTGACAGGAAATAATCACAGCTAAGATCAGTAGTGCTGATGACTGGAAGTCTTCAATTTCCAAACACCTGAAGTCATCCTGCCGAGACATCATAAATAAGAAACTACAGCTTGAACCGGGAGATATTCTTCTACTGTGTCATGGTGCGGGACATTTTCCGGTAAGTCTTGGTACTTGATTCTATGGTAGAAGCAGTCTCCTCCTGGTTCGTCATCATATATATGTTAATCTTGTTCATTTAGCTTTGAAAAAAAGACATTATGTAAAACTTTTGGCTTTTGTATTTTTGGAAATTAACTTATTAATATGATAACAACTATCACACATTGAGGAACCTCTAGGGGCCTTAGTGGCCAAATGGTTAAGACGTCTGACATTCTGCTACCACAAGCCCTCCACCACTGGGTCGCCGGTTCGAGTAAAACACAAACAAACCAAATTGAGGAACCTCTGATATTCACAACAGTGAGCAGATCAGTTTCCTGTGCTATATCTTGTGTTTAATTTTCTTCTTAACTCTTTCATCCCTATGTAACTTGAGTAGACTCTACCATACATTCATCTGGATGAGTCTATTATGGTCTACAGTGGTGAAAAGGTTAAGTTTTTTTTACAGTTTACATTAACTTGTATTTAATTATATTTTGGATATAACTGTAGCACGATTGGACCAGGGTACTTCTGCTGACAGGTAACTCAGTGGGTTAGAGTGTCTCTGTTCTAACGCCACAATCAATGGGAGGTTATTTAAGCATTAAACAGCATTCTGTTCCGTGTTATGGTCCTATAACACGGAACAGGATTGGATATGGTCCTATAACACGGAACAGGATTGGATATGGTCCTATAACACGAAACAGGATTGCAGACAAAATGAGTTATGATTATTTGTCTGTAATCATGTTTCGTGTTATAAGACCATAACACGGAACAGAATGCTGTTTCATACTTATATTTACATTTTTCATTTGTTTAAATTCACAACACATTTTTTCTAATTCTAATTTCGCTGTGTTTGTTCAAGAGATGGAACAGCCCATGGAATTGCTCAGGGAATGTTGTCTCGTGACTTTTCCCCTCAAAGAATTCGTTCGTGGAAATAAACACAAAAATATCGATACTATTTCCATAATTTAATCAATCAATATATTCAATTCACATTTTATAATAGTCTTACATAAAATGGTGAATATTAATTAACCACTGTGAGGTTTTTTGCTGATCCGCTTGCTAGTGCGGAGGGGAATAACTATCCAGTAGTTAGTTGGACCTGTGGAGATATCACTATGCCTGTGTTATAGTCTCATAGCACGGAACTGCCCTTGTTACTGTTATATAGTGCCAATGCAGAGCAAATGTAAATATTTAGCAATTGTAGGCCTGTAAGGGCTGTAAAATCATGTGAGATATTACGAGAAGCTGTTAAAGTCAGGCTTCAGCTGATTCAAATGTCCCTCAAATCAGGTGTCACTAAAGTGAAGTCTGATGTCAGTCAAGTTGGGTATAAATAGAGTTACGTGTGGATAAAGACAGATGTCTCAGAAAATATCCCTTTTAATATGAAACTGAAGTATAGTTTAATTAAAGCCTATTCATTGTTTGTTTTCAGTTTGAAGTCCTTGGGAAGAAGCGTCTGATGACAGCCAATCACTTAGAGCAGAAAGGTAATATAATAAAGATTATCGACCGGGATTCAGTTTTATTATATGATCTGGCCATCAAAGTACACGTAATAACACTGATTGTGATAACACTGATTGTGATAACACCGATTGTGATGTCAAACACTGATTGTGATGTCAAACACTGATTGTGATGTCAAACACTGATTGTGATGTCAAACAACGATTGTGATGTCAAACACTGATTGTGATGTATTGTGATTTCAAAAAAATGATGTGTATTTTAATGAAACTAAGATTTTTTATCAACCAAAACTTTCAATTAATTTTATGATAAATGTGAAATTTTATGATAGAAATAATCTTAGACCAATCTTCATTATCTCAGCATTTATCAAAGCAATCAAAACTCACACATTTTAACCATGTTTTCTCGATTCTTATTCAAAATTTTTAGTATTTTCTAAAGTTCGTATTTTACAAAGCTTCTAAAAACGATAAAAAACCAAGATATTAGCAGCCATAAAGTGTATAGTAACATCATAATGACCAAAGGGTAAAATCACAAATGTTTAACGATGTAATGTGGACATACTGTAGTATTTTCCAGGTCAGGCGATCAGAAACTCTTCCGATAACAATATTTTCTGGGTGGTTGATTTCCCACTTTTCCTGCCAAAAGAAGATGAATGTGAGTAATTTCAGATTTTGTCAATTCTTATTCATGAACATGTCAACTCACATTCATGGACATGTCAACTCTCATTAATGGACCTATCAACTCTCATTCATGGACATGTCAACTCTCATTAATTGATGTGTCAACTCTTACTCATGAACTCTCATTTATTGACATGTCAACTCACATTCATGGACATGTCAACTCACATTCATGGACATGTCAACTCTCATTCATGGACATGTCAACTCTCTTTCATGGACATGTCAACTCTTTTTCATGGACATGTCAACTCTTTTTCATGGACATGTCAACTCTCATTCATGGACATGTCAACTCTCATTCATGGACATGTCAACTCTTTTTCATGGACATGTCAACTCTTATTCATGGACATGTCAACTCTCATTCATGGACATGTCAACTCTCATTCATGGACATGTCAACTCTCATTCATGGACATGTCAACTCTCATTCATGGACATGTCAACTCTCATTCATGGACATGTCAACTCTCATTCATGGACATGTCAACTCTCATTCATGGACATGTCAACTCTCATTCATGGACATGTCAACTCTCATTCATGGACATGTCAACTCTCATTCATGGACATGTCAACTCTCATTCATGGACATGTCAACTCTTTTTCATGGACATGTCAACTCTCATTCATGGACATGTCAACTCTCATCCATGGACATGTCAACTCTCATTTATGGACATGTCAACTCACATTCATGGACATGTCAACTCTCATTCATGGACATGTCAACTCTCATTCATGGACATGTCAACTCTCATTCATGGACATGTCAACTCTCATTCATGGACATGTCAACTCTCATTCATGGACATGTCAACTCTCATTCATGGACATGTCAACTCTCATTCATGGACATGTCAACTCTCATTCATGGACATGTCAACTCTCATTCATGGACATGTCAACTCTCATTCATGGACATGTCAACTCTCATTCATGGACATGTCAACTCTCATTCATGGACATGTCAACTCTCATTCATGGACATGTCAACTCTTTTTCATGGACATGTCAACTCTCATTCATGGACATGTCAACTCTCATTCATGGACATGTCAACTCTCATTTATGGACATGTCAACTCACATTCATGGACATGTCAACTCTCGTTCATGGACCTGTCAACTCTCATTCATGGACATGTCAACTCTCATTTATGGACATGTCAACTCTCATTTATGGACATGTCAACTCACATTCATGGACATGTCAACTCACATTCATGGACATGTCAACTCTCATTCATGGACATGTTAACTCTCGTTTATGGACATGTCAACTCTCATGCGTGGACATGTCAACTCTTACTCATGAACTCTCATTCATGGACATGTCAACTCTCATTCATGGACATGTCAACTTTCATCCACGGACATGTCAACTCTCATTCATGGACATGTCAACTCTCATCCATGAACATGTCAACTCTCATCCATGAACTTGTGAACTCTGTTTTCTCTGTTCCAGCTGGTAAACTTATACCAGGATTAGTAGAGTCTGCTCATCATCCGTTCACAGCCCCAATTGAGGATGACCTTGACCTCGTGTATTCCGATCCCAACAAGGTCAGTTACTAATAAAACATGACAATGTTGATGGATATTTAATAAAACTTCTAGATAAAGTATAAAACCTTATTACCATAAATAAAACTTTAACTTGGACTTCAAATGCATTTACCTCAAAATTTAATATTATTTCGCTAACTAAATTAATTCTTTTATTAACTTACTTGAATTCATTTCATACATTCTCTCTTTCATCCAAATTTGTATGCAATAGCCTAGCATCTGGCATCAACTTTTTTCTCTTAACAATGATTTCCAAAAACCCATAAGGGTAGAGCCTTGATATTGAACATGTAGCTCACTGGGAGAAAGGACTTCAGCTCTGCATCAAAACATATAAGGATGTGCTCTGTTTGTATTAAGGTTAAAAATAACAGAAAACCAAAAATTCAAAGAGAAACATGTCATTTATTGAAAATAATAAATGACGGATGTAAAGAACCTTGACCTACTTTCAAGGTTACAGGGTCAAGGATGCTTAAGACTTATTGTGTTGGTACAGCATCAATATTCTCCCTGCATTGTTTGTGTACTGTAACAGGTACGGAGTCAACATTACGACCTGGTGTTGAACGGTAATGAGATTGGAGGAGGATCAGTTCGTATTCATAATGCAAAGCTTCAGAAATATGTTCTGTCGGAAATATTAAAGGTAGGTTTGTTTTCCAACACATCTGATATATACTTTCCAGAATTCTAACATCAGTTATCACTCTACCCTGTAAATGGTTTAGAGGTAGTATTACCAGGTAAACTATTGGTTTAACATTATAAGTAGCTGTCAATTTGAATCAAACACTCCTCAGACACCGGTTCAGTAAAGTGGTTTTGCATCAAAGTTCAAACTGTGAACTTTTTATGCTACATTTTGTATTTTTTTGTGATACAAAGTTGGGCCTTGTTTAACTAGATTCCCTTTGTTTGTGTATTGATTGTTAACCTGTTTCAAAACCATCAAGTGTCTCACAGACAATAAGTCTCTCACAACAAAACCATCAAGTGTCCTCACAGACAATTAGTCTCTCACAACAAAACCATCAAGTGTCTTACAGACAATTAGTCTCTCACAACAAAACCATCAAGTGTCTCACAGACAATTAGTCTCTCACAACAAAACCATGAAGTGTCTCACAGAGAATTAGTCTCTCACAACAAAACCATCAAGTGTCTCACAGACAATTAGTCTCTCACAACAAAACTATCAAGTGTCTCACAGACAATAAGTCTCTCACAATAAAACCATCAAGTGTCTCACAGACAATAAGTCTCTCACAACAAAACCATCAAGTGTCCTCACAGACAATTAGTCTCTCACAACAAAACCATCAAGTGTCCTCACAGACAATTAGTCTCTCACAACAAAACCATCAAGTGTCCTCACAGACAATTAGTCTCTCACAACAAAACCATCAAGTGTCCTCACAGACAATTAGTCTCTCACAACAAAACCATCAAGTGTCCTCACAGACAATTAGTCTCTCACAACAAAACCATCAAGTGTCCTCACAGACAATTAGTCTCTCACAACAAAACCATCAAGTGTCCTCACAGACAATTAGTCTCTCACAACAAAACCATCAAGTGTCCTCACAGACAATTAGTCTCTCACAACAAAACCATCAAGTGTCCTCACAGACAATTAGTCTCTCACAACAAAACCATCAAGTGTCCTCACAGACAATTAGTCTCTCACAACAAAACCATCAAGTGTCCTCACAGACAATTAGTCTCTCACAACAAAACCATCAAGTGTCCTCACAGACAATTAGTCTCTCACAACAAAACCATCAAGTGTCCTCACAGACAATAAGTCTCTCACAACAAAACCATCAAGTGTCCTCACATACAATTAGTCTCTCACAACAAAACCATCAAGTGTCCTCACAGACAATTTGTCTCTCACAACAAAACCATCAAGTGTCCTCACCGACAATTAGTCTCTCACAACAAAACCATCAAATGTCCTCACAGACAATTAGTCTCTCACAACAAAATCATCAAGTGTCCTTACATACAATTAGTCTCTCACAACAAAATCATCAAGTGTCCTCACAGACAATAAGTCTCTCACAACAAAATCATCAAGTGTCCTCACAGACAATAAGTTTCTCACAACAAAATCATCAAGTGTCCTCACAGACAATTAGTCTCTCACAACAAAAGTAAGACAGGGAACCATTACATTCCACATCAGATTGATTATGAACAATATCTGGTCTCTAGGGAAAGTACAGTTTAGTAAAAAGGTAAAACAACCAGCAGGTCAAAATTGCCAAGCCTGACATCATTAGAGTGTGGTGCCAAGGATTACACTGCTCCTTCCAACACTTTCTGATTACATAATGCAGGAGCAAAGAGCCAGCGTCCAATAGATGTCAAGGAATGTTTTCATTCTAGGTTTCTTAATACAGTAACATATTCATGTCATAATGATAATCTGTGTTGACAGGAGGATACAAGTGAGCTGAGTCACCTACTATCCGCTCTAGACATGGGATGTCCACCTCACGCTGGGATCGCACTAGGTAATAATATCAACCAATCTTTGATATAAAATTTACGGAAAATATTTTGATTTGAATGGCAAGTGTGCTGACGATATGGTGCAAGGTAATCTTCTTAAGAATTTAAATAATCATACATCTGAAACTGCATAACTTGTATTAAACTTCGGCAAAAGTCAGGGTCATTGTTTGCATAATGTACTTTGAAGGTCATATCAACAAGGTCAAGGTCATTACTTCTAAAGTTAGAAACATATTTACTGAGCGAAGGTTAATATTGGTTTCAGCATATGATATGACCATGTTAGAAAAACAAGTAAATATTCTCCATTTTTTTTGAATGACCAATTATTTTCATTCAAAAGTTTTGCAGTTTCTTTTTTTCTGTCTATGTTTTGCCATTTATATAAGCTGGATTCCTTTCAGGTTAAAAGTTTGGAATTTGTCTTACATTTCAGGGCTGGACCGACTTTTCGCTATCCTGAGTGGAGTTAACAATATAAAGGATGTTATTGCCTTCCCAAAGTCTTTCATGGGATCTTGTCCCATGAGCAAGGCGCCATCTAAACTGTCAGAATCTGATCTTAGTCTGTACCACCTAACACTGAAATCATAGCATTGAAAATGATGTCATTGAAATGTTGATCAAAACGGTCAGAGGAGCTGTATTATTTTATATTAAATTATAAGAAAGAAAACATTACCTATTGTTTATTTTTCTTTCCAGTTTTGTTTAACCCTTTCACCACTGTAGACCATAATTGACTCATCCAGATAAATGTATGGTAGAGTCTACTAAAGTTACTTTGGGGTGAAAGGGTTAAGATATCATTAATTATGATATTCTTTGCATTTTGAATACTTGATTATTGTTCGGGCATAATTGAAAGTCATATACTATAGATACATTTGTTTAACACATTGAGTCTAAAATCCAGATAAATAAGACTAATAATGTTGAATTTATTATAACAAACAAGTTAGGCAGCTAAGGTACACATACCTTTGAATATTATACAGAAACACAGCAAGTTGTTTGTGTTTATTTTTTTCTGAAATACCACAATCATTCCCCTAATCTCAAACAACTCAAGGATCAAATTATAAAAATTCTGAACATACAACAATAAGAATAGTTTTGAGAAAAAATATTGATGTATGTACTGTATACCGGGGAATTTTCACCGCAATTAAAGTTTCACCTTTTTGGCCCTCTGTGATTAGGGAGAATTTATTATTACAGCAAACGTTAGTAAACAACATATTATACAGTGTTACTAAATGTTATACAGTGTTACTAAATGTTATACAGTGTAACTAAATGTTATACAGTCTTACTTAATGTTATACAGTCTTACTTAATGTTATACAGTGTTACTAAATATTATACAATGTAACTAAATGTTATAGTGTTACTAAATGTTATACAGTGTTACTAAATGTTATACAGTGTTACTTAATGTTATACAGTGTTACTAAATGTTATACAGTGTAACTAAATGTTATACAGTCTTACTTAATGTTATAGTGTTACTAAATGTTATACAGTGTAACTAAATGTTATACAGTGTAACTAAATGTTATACAGTGTAACTAAATGTTATAAGGGATCTACACTTGTATTAACAGATGACCAACACTTGTATTGACAGGGGATCTACACTTGTATTGACTGGGGACCTATACTTGTATTGACAGGGGACCTACACTTGTATTGACAGGGGATCTACACTTGTATTGACTATGGACCTACACTTGTATTGACAGGGGACCTACACTTGTATTGACAGGGGACCTACACTTGTATTGACTATGGACCTATACTTGTATTGACAGGGGACCTACACTTGTATTGACAGGGGACCTACACTTGTATTGACAGGGGATCTACACTTGTATTTACAGGGGACCTACACTTGTATTGACAGGGGACCTACACTTGTATTGACTATGGACCTACACTTGTATTGACAGGGGACCTACACTTGTATTGACAGGGGACCTACACTTGTATTGACAGGGGACCTACACTTGTATTTACAGGGGACCTACACTTGTATTGACAGGGGACCTACACTTGTATTGACTATGGACCTACACTTGTATTGACAGGGGACCTACACTTGTATTGACAGGGGACCTACACTTGTATTGACAGGGGACCTACACTTGTATTGACAGGGGACCTACACTTGTATTGACAGGGGACCTACACTTGTATTGACAGGGGACCTACACTTGTATTGACAGGGGACCTACACTTGTATTGACAGGGGACCTACACTTGTATTGACAGGGGACCTACACTTGTATTGACAGGGGACCTACACTTGTATTGACAGGGGACCTACACTTGTATTGACAGGGGACCTACACTTGTATTGACAGGGGACCTACACTTGTATTGACAGGGGACCTACACTTGTATTGACTATGGACCTACACTTGTATTGACAGGGGACCTACACTTGTATTGACTATGGACCTACACTTGTATTGACAGGGGACCTAAACGTTTATTCACAGACAAGTTTAGGTCCCCTTGTAATGTAGAGTGGGTTCCCAGTCAATAAAAGTGAAAGTCCCAATTTAATGACAGGTATTGATCTCTGTCAGTAATGACAGGTATTGGTCTCTGTCAGTAATGACAGGTATTGGTCTCTGTCAGTAATGACAGTATTGGTCTCTGTCAGTAATGACCGGTATTGGTCTCTGTCAGTACACGTGTGAACATTTAGTAAATACAAGGTCTGGCCTATATTAATTTGATTGATGTTCTGCAATTATAGAGAAACGATTTACTGATTTTTCTTTGATATGCAGCTTTTCGACCGCCGGTCGTATAAGTGAGGATGGATTGCATTCAAATATTGATCTTTTAATTCCACAGTCTGAGTATATCATGATAACGTTATTCGTAATAACAAGAGATAATGTAACTCGTAATGACGAGATCAAGTAAGTCGTTATAATGAGATAGGTTAACTCGTAATATTAAGATGATATTATTTCTTGCGGTACTAATCGGCTTTCATAATTTACCTTATAAATGTAAAAATATTCCTATGCAAGTTTATAATATAAACATTAAAAACTTGTATAGGAATATTTTTACATATTTATACTAGTTTATATATATATGTACAGTATTTGTTCCAATGAATCTTTTCGATAGCTGATCTTTCTTCATGATGAAGTTGACGTCATCAAGAAGTTCTTGTTTTCCACGCAGCTGCAATAGGTATATATATTTATATAGATCATCTTTTCTGAAACAAAAAGAATGCTTCCTCCATAATGAAGAAGAACTTAGTATAAATAAGAATATAGCACAAGTTCAAAATTGAAAATCATTCATGATTCCCGTGGAGCAAAATCAAAACCACGACAACTTTTTAAAAGTCAATGGATCGATATTGTGCATGGTCTTATGATGACAGCTATTGTTGTCGTCATTATCGTCATCGTTCTCATCTTTCTGATATTGACTCGGCACATTACAATAGTCCAGAGAGCCTTTTTGTACGTTACTTTGTCCCAGAGAGCCTGTTTGTACGTTACTTTGTCCCAGAGAGCCTGTTTGTTCGTTACTTTTGCCCTCGCTTTTCCTTAGGTCTGCTATTCTTATGGCAGCCGCTTGGTTTTCTGGAAGTTGTCGGCGTGAATCTTTAAATGCCTTGATGGCCCTCCGTGTGTCCCCTAACATCTGATGACCAATTCCGACCATGTTGTGTACCATCGGGTAGTGATGTACTCCATAAATAGGATGGGAAAGTAAAGTCTGGAGGTCGTCCAAGAGTGTCCGAGATTGGTCGATATTCCCGAGTCTGTATGTAGACAGTAACAGAAGAAAGGTGGCATACGGTAGAGGTGGGAGGTAGATATTCCTCTCGTTTGTCTGAACCTCTAGGTCTAGTTCTAGTGGATATAGTCTGTTGTCTTCTTTATGAATTGTGTACTGCAATGCAAACGAACGTTTCGCTTTCTGTAGTAGTGTGTATCCTTTACCACACATCTCCTCCTTGTACCTCGTATAATCCCCATACCACTGCAGTAACCCTCCTCGCTGACACGCGAACACCACGCATGTTGCTATTTCGGTTGTTTTGTTGTAACAACCAACATTGTAGTAAAATGTGGCCAGTGACAACAGTCCTCGACAGACATCTGTGGCTGCCGACAGGTGAAGAACCCGTTTGTGTCGTCTGATCTGGGCATATGTAGCTTTGTTGTTGTTACTGTGAGACCGTGTAAGGTCTGCAATGCTGTTACTAGAGGTGTTTGTGATTACATTGATAAAGGAAAGTAACACTATATCCATCTCCTGTTCATCTACAGTAGCAAGGAAAGCGCGATTAACCAGCTTCAGTACTTGTACAGTACTAACCTTGTATACAGAATTACAGCGTGCAATAATTGCACAATCGTTTTCAAATTCCTCCTCCGAAGGCGGCAATTTTGGTATTGGATACATGGAGCAACTATTTTGCAAGGTTTTATATAGTGGCTGAAGACTTGGACACTGCAGTAAGTGCTTCCATCCCGTACGTTTGTATTCCATTAGCACCCGGAGTAGTTTCTTCCTGTTATCACCGGTAAAGTTGCCAAGAAACATGTTGTGGTTGGTTACAAAAAAATTTGGGCAGTTTTCGTTTGTCACAAAATTAAAAAGAATGTCAATGCAGAACCAAAAGCACACGAGGATGTACTCCTCCGCCCACAAAGAACCTGGAGATCTCTCAATGGCGTGGAAAATTATTGTCTTCATAAAATAGGAACACAGTAGGCTTTTTATTGATTCATTGCATTCGATGCATTCCTTTTGGAAAAGTTTCAAGAGAGCATACGTTTTGAATTGTACGTGATTAAATTTTAAAACAAGAGCTTTCTCGGACAATGAGAATGAAATGCGCCATTGCATCGCAGAAAGATTAGAATGTTTGTCTCCAATGGCAACGAAGTGGCAGCCGTTCTGTACGATATAATTGATTATCGTTTTAGATGGCCAATCGTACCGTCTCCTTCGATACCTAAAGTTACTTAAATGATCTGGCCATGACCGACAGTGGAAGCAATAGGCATCATCATGCAGTCTCCCTTTAATCTCCACAGTAGAGCAAGGTCCGTGTAGATAATGATCGGGCCACAACACGTTACTACTGTAAACTACACTAGACAGGTGCAAGGAACCATTTATATCTATTAACGCGTCCATCACTTCCCTGTGCTGTCTCACTCCTATGTGACGGAGTTTGAGTAAGGTAAACCCGGGTCTACAGTTTGTGTGGTCCATGACCAGCACAGTTTTATCAGCATCTACCGTGTGTATGACGTCACGAGGTTGAACAACAATGACGTCATTGTGTATAAACATAAAATCTTGGTCGGATCCTTTTAACTGTAATCCTTCTGCTGACGATCCGGTGTACAATAACCTGTACGGTTTCATATGTGAATAGATATAATGCCAGCTTAAATGCTTCAGCAATCTCCTAACTCTGACCGTTTCCTCAGAACCTATACCGTCAATACCTTCGAGATACCGAGACAGGAACCTGGATACTCGACAGACATCACTTAGCTCCATACCGAGATCATGGTCTGTTGGAATGGATTCTGGAACCGACAAAACAAACGTATAAAGAACAAGAAAATCTTTTAAAAGTTAAATAGTAGGGTTTAAATGTTGGTGATAATTAATCTGAATATGAGCTGGAATGATTATTATCACATGTGAATCTTACGATGGTGACAATCCAGGTTTCAGCTCATTGTAAAGCAAGGTCCTGTATTTTAAACTAATGTATTACCCCAGTAGCTAAAACTCCTCTGTGGCTGGAACTCATCGGTTTACAATCAAAATAAACAAATTGAGACAAGAATGGGTTTCAAACTTTTTAGCGCCAATTTGTACTATGGTTACATGACAACATTATTCCTTCCTTGACGTCAATATGTCCGCCATTGCTGTTTAGTTTAGGGCTTTTTTACAAGTAAATTAAGCATTTATACTGCCCAATGATGAATAATGCTTTGGAGAGAATATGATCTATAATGAAAGAACAATTAAGGTAAAAAATAGAGTAAATGTAAACATACAGAAACACACAAATGTGTTCACCTGACGTCTCAGATTACACCAATCAACACATGTGTGGGGTGTTACTTATTTATTATATTGATAATTACAAATCAACACATGTGTGGGGTGTTACTTATTTTTTATATCGATAATTACCAATCAACACATGTGTGGGGTGTTTCTTTTTTGTTATATCAATATTTACCAATCAACACATGTGTGGGGCGTTACTTTTTTGTTATATCAATATTTACCAATCAACACATGTGTGGGGCGTTACTTTTTTGTTATATCAATATTTACCAATCAACACATGTGTGGGGAGTTACTTATTTGTTATATCGATAATTACCAATCAACACATGTGTGGGGTGTTACTTTTTTGTTATATCAATATTTACCAATCAACACATGTGTGGGGTGTTACTTATTTGTTATATCGTTAATTACCAATCAACACATGTGTGGGCTGTTACTTATTTTTTATATCGATAATTACCAATCAACACATGTGTGAGGTGTTACTTATTTGTTATATCGATATTTACTAATCAACACATGTGTGGGGTGTTACTTATTTTTTATATCGATAATTACCAATCAACACATGTGGGGGGTGTTACTTATTTATTATATCGATAATTTCCAATTAACACATGTGTGGGGGGTTACTTATTTATTATATCGATAATTTCCAATTAACACATGTGTGGGGGGTTACTTATTTATTATATCGATAATTTCCAATTAACACATGTGTGGGGGGTTACTTATTTATTATATCGATAATTTCCAATTACCACATGTGTGGGGTGTTACTTATTTATTATATCGATAATTTCCAATTAACACATGTGTGGGGTGTTACTTATTTATTATATCGATAATTTCCAATTAACACATGTGTGGGGTGTTACTGATTTATTATATCGATAATTACCAATCAACACATGTGGGGGGAGTTACTTATTTATTATATCATTCATTTCCAATCAACACATGTGTGGGGTGTTACTTTTTTGTTATATCGTTAATTACGAATCAACACATGTGCGGGGGGTTACTTATTTGTTATATCGTTAATTACCAATCAACACATGTGGGGGGTGTTACTTATTTGTTATATCGATAATTTCCAATCAACACATGTGTGGGGTGTTACTTATTTATTATATCGATAATTTCCAATTAACACATGTGTGGGGTGTTACTTATTTATTATATCGATAATTACCAATCAACACATGTGTGGGGTGTTACTTATTTGTTATATCGTTAATTACCAATCAACACATGTGCGGGGTGTTACTTATTTGTTATATCGTTAATTACCAATCAAAACATGTGTGGGGGGTTACTTATTTGTTATATCGATAATTACCAATCAACACATGTGTGGGGATTTACTTATTTATTATAACGTTTATTACCAATCAACACATGTGTGGGATATTGCTCATTTATTATATCGTTAATATTAATCAACACATGCGAAATACATGTCCTCATGGAGAAGTACAGAAATAAAAATTGCAAAATCAAGTACAAATAATTTTAAAAAAGCATTCACAAATGTATATTGATATAGAAATAATAAATGTTATTCAAGATAGTGTCACATAATTTTAAAGTCACAATCAAGTTAAGCACTTAAAACGCCTCTTAGAGTATGAAATCGTTCAGGTCTAATTAGTTTAGTTGGAAAGGCCTATCGGGCAACCGGTGTATACGTGGTAAACAAATCAGGGACATGTATGTGATTTTATCATATTGCTTATGTCAAGATAGACGTGAACGGTTGACGAAAAAACTTACAAGATTTCAATATGCAGGTTGGTGAAGAGCACTGGCAAATGGTATGATCGCCACCATGATCTCATTAGAGAAACTCCCTTGTGATATATGAAGTTCGATGTTTCTGTAGTGTGCTGTCACTACTCTGATTCTCTATTTGAGGACGTGACATTTCTCTGATTTGACCTAGATGAACAAGTCGGGTGCCGTCGACGGAGCAGAAGACGCTTATCCTTTTAAAACGCATGGTCTTATTATCTTTGAACTTTGCCGGGGGTTTAATGTAAACCATTCTTACGTCATTAACATTCTGGTCTGGTTTAGTTTACACTTCTGTTTCCATTATAATCATTATTTTACAAGTCAACGTTTTATCACGTTATTTCTATTGGGGAATAAATTACAGATGTTTTTGTTTCTTTCTTGCTTTCTTCATGCTATTATAGAACTATGCTGATATGGTCTATCCTGGGTATGTCACACTTATGGAACTATAACTTATATTAAGGGCCTTACCAATTGATATTTATCTAGATAAATATCCCCTCATAGTTTCATTCAGTTTGCAGGTGATTCTCAGCGAAATGATGTATTATTACAACTGAGCGTTCAGTCGTGTCATCGGGATCTTATCAGGGGCGGATCCAGGATTTCCTAAAAGGGGGGGCCGAGAATCTTTTTTCAATAGTCAACGGTGTGCTACCGAAGGCATCACCCCGAGCGCGTAGCGCGAGTCCCTAGATGGTGCGGGAGGGGGTCTTCCCCCTCCCGTAAGGGGGGTTTGGGGGATATCCCCCCAAAAAATTGTGTTTTCTAGAACGTCTCAGAAGCGATTTCCCGTGTTCTGAGGATTGTTTTTATGTTTAATTAACAAGAAGAAAAAAAAACATATTTTAAGTATGGCTNTATTATTATAGGGGCAACCTGGTGATGACAAATGTATGAATCCACAGGGGGCTTGTTCATTATTACCTAATTTGGCGTCCCGCCCGCAAGGGGGATACGAGAGGTCCACCGTCAAAAAATAAATGTAGGGACGCACAATATCTAGTCTTCAGACATTGTACCTACAGTACAGTACTTCATGTAATAGTTTGTCGTACAAAAGAACAAATAACACCATAACATCGTTGCTGTTTAATTAATGAGTTACTCATGGCATCACTAAGTTGCTAAACAAACGGATAAGTTCAAATCAGTGCGACACCCAAGGCCACTAGCTATATAGTCTCGCGTTTTATAATTGTTGACTAATTCACTAGTGTAGACAAAGATATATCTGAAATGTCCACGCTGATTAACTCATGTAAGGGCGTGCATATTACCAACAGTGGTACATTTGCTAAACTATCTGGTTAAAATGGTACAACTTAGGAGGCACATACGCGTCACCTTTAAATTTAATTTAAAAGTATCATACTTGTAAGTACAGCATATCATCTCATTACTAGGAACACAATAGTATGCTGTGTAAAGATACTTTCTTGTACGTACACGATGGTAAGCTATAAGTACCACAATGAGATATTATGTTGTACATACAAGGTAGTTAAACAGTTCCAACAATATATATAATACCAAAATATACATAATATTGTCAGCCGAAAAAAAACCTTTATCGTTCTTGTATATTGATATGATTAATATCGCCCGGACGGTTAGGAAGGTTACAATAAAAAGTATCAATTTTCAGATCATCTATAACGAGCGGTCAATAATATAATTATGCAAATTATGCTAGTATATTTCCGCCGAGCGTTGCAAGTTGCAACTTGGGGTTTTGCGGAGGTGGTAAAATAAAAATAAAACACTTTAGGGTCAAGATACAAAGTAGACGAGCGTAGCGATGCCAACAAACATTGTTTTAATAAAGAAAATATAGTAAAAATATCAGATAACGGAAACCCACAATATTTGCTAGGATGCCGTACGCCCCAGATTTTTTTATACAAGCTCCGTGCATTATTTGATGCATATTAAAATGTTAATATGTTCCCATTCCCGGCCTATCAGACCATTTCAGATGTACAAATGCGTTTCTTTTAAGATATCACACTTTTTTTATTTATTCAGGCCCCTGTAGTGATCTCTTCTAAACTACTAGCTGATATTTTGTGTTTTAATTAAATGCTTATCCTAAGTAGTCTGAAATTACGCAATTCTAACGAGTCTACTTTAATAACATCATGGTCATTGGGAAGAGAAAAGTTGTAACACTTGAAGGGGCTGAAGGAAATGACGAGGACATATCTCAAAGATTAAGTGAAATGGAGAAGTAACCTGTCCTTGTTAAAGTGTCACCGTGGACAAACAACGGGTATGTGAGGTACCGTAACGGAAGGTGTTACCTTTGTTTTCGTTCTCAAATATATCCTAGAAATAACGGTACTGTCTGAAAGATAAAACATTATCAAATAGTTTCTCACAATATGAGTTTGTACATACATCTGCTAATAATGCGGCCAGCTGGCTACAGTAAAATGGGTGAAAACCTTTTTCCATAAGTATAACAATATACAAAATATAAAAGTATCGATTAACAGTGTTTAGATTTGTCGTGTGCTACATATTTCGGAACCATTCAGAAAATAGATCTTTTCCCCTTAAAGATCCCTGTCCCACTGTATAGTGTTTCTGTACACACAGAAACCTCCCCTTAGTTCCCCTCGTTTTGGATATACCGTGTAACATGTGGCAAAGTGCGGCCAGGACACTTCTGCAGACCAATTAGTTAACTCGGTTAGAGCGATAGTATCGCAATCTGAAGTCCACGGCTCGAATCCAGGACCGCTTTCGTTTGTCGCGATCCAAACGGTTGGACCAGAGTTGTTCCATTGTGAAATAAGGTCGGACGAAGTAATTTGAGGCTGCTTTCAGACGAGCCTTGACAGATCTAGAGATTCGCAAGGCGTGCAGGTCCGCTAGGATTTATACCCGAAAATGTTACATTTAAAAATAGACAAACCGGTTGTTTCGCATTTAAAAAACGAACAGCTAGGTCACTCGTCTAGCCCCGCTGAATTGATTATATTTTGTTTATCTTATCTTTGTTATTTTTTCATAAATAAATCCCGGAAGGTATTGTTGTCTTTATCTGAAATGATTTATCAAAGCTGTAGTCAAACCAGTTTTATTTATAGAAAAACAAAGTTTCCAATGCGTAGGTTTTGGCGGTGTAACTGTGATCCATCAATACACTGATGAGTCCTAAATGGACTTATATAGCCACATTGTGCAGTAGAAAAAGCTTTCTGCAGCCACAAACAAACCTTTCCAATAAACCTGCTTCATTTCTTCGTTTTGTAAGCATTTTTTTTTATTAAAGATCTACGATACTTAACATTTTGTGTTATTCGTGTCATGAGGCACAACGGAGTTGCTACGTATTTTTTTCGATGGAAAACCTAAATTTACTATCGTTGATATCCTGCGGTCTTACTAGAATCTGAATACTCTTTTATCATTTAGCACTTACCCCAAGAGGAAGTCTCCATTAAGTAGCTTTGTGTGTATAACTTTGTTATTGAAGCTTATAATCCGCACCTACTGTTGACAAAAACATACGGAACAGGGAGTGTTATGCTAAACCAAAAGTGGAGTTTCCAGATTACGTGTGTTTATATAAAACCGGGAAACCCCCATGATGTGTGTGTATATATATACACACTAGACAAGTCAGTACCTTCTGACGTCATTCTTTTCAGTACTGGGCCCAGTTATCTAAAGCCTATATCCTTACACAGTTCGGGAAAGGAGCATCGGAAAGTTTAGACCATTTTTTAGGTAAATCCCGATACTCGCTATTTAGCTTACGTCAGAGTAATACTCGCTGTTTAGATTACGTCGGAGCAAAAAGTTTGTTTTGCACCAAATACGGCTTACGGCAGAGAAAAATTCTCCCACGATTGAAAGAGTGTTTTGCGGCAAAATACAAGATTACGTAAGTGTAATGATGTGAAATAAGCAACTAAGCTGAAACAATGATAACAAAAAAAGCCTGTTGAAGGTATATAGATACTATCACATACACGTGTCACAGTAGATTTAATACTTCAATTATGAATATTCTGACGTAATAAAGATGAATAAAACGATTCCCTGTGTCATTGAAATGGAGTAAATAGCTACAATAATAGAACGAATAATACTTTTATTATCAAATATATTAATTTATCACATGGACATTACATTTGTGCATAAACTGTTATTTAATATACTGGTGATACGGATAACGAACGTGCTCAATTTTAGTTGATACGGGTTACGTTCTATGTTGACACGGATTACGTTCTATGTTGACACGGATTACGTTGTAATATTTACATTTGCATGGCATTGTCACTATATCGCCTCTTTGGAAGCTGTGGCGTTGATGGGACTTTAATTACCATGCAGCACGAGACATAATTCTTAGCGTATAAATACAACACTGACCGGAACTACAATATCCAATGTAAATTAACATGACGGCTGCTGAAATATCGCTAGGCATTGTGAGATTTGACAATGTCATTGCAAATTTATGTGCAACCCCCCCCCCCCTCCCCCCCCAAAAAAACCCTTTTATTACAACAAAAACAAGACCAAGGTCTGCAATATCGTACAAAATGCACATCGGTTGAAATCACCAATGCCGGCAATGGAAACAATTTTAACGCTCATGCAATTTATCAAAAATATCGTCTGTTACACTGCACTGATCAACAGGGGTTCGTTACAAATGTCTGAAATACACATACTTTATAGACCTACTGACACATATGTTACAGACCTACTGATATGAGTCACAGCACACATAAACATTTCAGACATTTGTAATGAACCCCTGTGCTCCGTCGCAAGATCACTTACTTCAAACGCGTCTCGCAGCCTCTGTTTTCCTCAGTTTCTGACGACATGTCAAATAACGAGGCTGTTATAGAATCTACAGACTGTAGTCTAGCGCGCATTATGTTGTTTGCTTGCTGTGTCATTCAAATAGATCATACATACCATACAAAAACAGTTCAATGCTTAATTAAATCGATTATCATGCGAGGGGTTTTATCACTATTTTATATCTCCGTCTCTTCAGGTGAGTTATGTATCTTGTCATTATTTAAAAAACTGGCACGATAGTTGTGGTGGTGTGACATGTTGACCAGCACACTTATAGTTTGGATAATGTTGAGCCATAACAAGCACTGGTCCCCTCCCCATATTTGGAAAAGGCATGCCAATGTAAAGAAATTAATAGCTCTGAAAGACAAAGTAGCTTTGAAAATAAATTAATGTTATTCTTTTACATACCCTCAACATGTCAGTCATATAGTTGTTATTTCACTTGAGTAAGCCAGTTAGACGTGTTATTATACCCCGCAACAAAGTTAGTGGAGTATACTGGAATCAGCATGTCTGTCCGTCCGTCCGTCTGTCTGTTTGTCCCTAGAAAAAGTTTGTTTAGACAACTCCTTCTAAAGTAATGAACCAATTTCAACGAAACTTTCCAGATATGATAACAACCATCTGAAGTGGTGCATCCAGGTATTCTTTTTTCATTCTGACCTTTATTTACAAAGAAACGGCCCTTTGTTGAAAAATCTTTGTACGGACAAGTCTTCAAAATTACAGGGTCTATTTCATCAAAAGTTTCCAGATAAGATAACTACCACCTAATATTGTGCATCCAGGTATTGTTTTTTCATTCTCACTTTGTTTTACGGAGTAAATGTACGTTGTTAAAAAATGCTTGCCCTGACAACTTCTCCAAAACTACAGGGCCAATTTCAACGAAAGTTTTCAGAAATGATAACTACCCCTGATGTTGTACATCCAGGTAAAAAAAAAGTCCCCACCCCTTTTTATGGAGTTATGACCCTTTTTGAAAAATCCTTGTCCTGCCAACTTCTCCTAATCTACTCGGCCGATTTCAAAGGATTCAGATATGATAACTACCACCTGATGTTGTGCATCAAGGTATTATTTGTCCAATCTGACCCTTTTTTAACGGAGTAATGGCCCTTTGTTGAAAAACATTTGTCCAGACAACTCCTCAAAAACTATGGGGCCAATTTCAACGGAAGTTTTCAGATATGATAACTACCCCCTGATGTTGTGCATTCAGGTATTTTTTCCCAACCAAAGTCTCTTCTCCAAACCCCCTGAACCAATTTCAATGAAATTTTGCAGAAACCTTCCATGGCCAAAGGTCAACCAAAATTGTGAATTATATGGTCCCCGGCCCCAAGGGGTCTGTGGGGCGGGGCCAAAAAGGGTCAAATTGACTGAAATTTCAAAAATCTTTTTCTCAAGATCTAGATATGGTAGAATCAAATACTGTTCATAGATGGAAGGGTCTTAAGGTGCTTTACCAAAATTGTGAATTTCATGACCCTGGGGTCTTACGTTTCCCCTGGGAAGGGGGTAAACTTTACTATAGTTTATATAGGGAAATCACATTTTGGACCAACATTTGTTTAATTTCCATTGGAAGTAATTCAATTTGGGTAAGGATTATCAGTATTGGATAGCAGTTTGATGATATGCACATATCAGCCCTGACTGACCCCCCAGGGGCAGATGGGTGGGGGCAAAAAGGGTCGAATTGACTGAAATTTCAAAGGAGCAAAATTTATTATGGTTTATATTGGCAAATGATACTTTGGATATTACATGTTGATAACTTGATTGGAATTATAACCCTGAGTTGACAGTTAGAATTTTGAAAATTTTGAGCCAGCCCTACCCCCAAGGGTTGTAGGGCGGGGCCCAAAGGAGTTAGATTGCTAAAATTTCTTCATTTACCTTGTTTAGAATCAAATGTGCTAGTTTCAATTACTTTTCAGTCTTAAATCTGCATGCTAGACATTGAATAAAGTGGTTTTATTGTTTTTTGTCACTTTGAATAATATTTCTGTTCATGTTTTAAAAACAAAAATCAACTCTCTGTATAAATATATCAGAACTCAGGTGACCGGTAAGGCCTATGGGCCCCTTGTTTTATGGAGTAATGGCCCTTTCGAGAAAAATCCTTGTCCTGACAACTTCTCCTATTCGACTCGGCAAATTGCAAACTTAACAGATATGGTAACTGTCCCCTGATGTTGTGCATCCAAGTAGCAATTTTTCATTTCGACCCTTTTAAAAGGAGTAGTGGTCCTTTGTTGAAAAAAACACTTTGTCTTTCTCTTAAACTACTGGTCCGATTTCAATGAAAGTTTACATATATGGTAATTATATGGTAATTACCCCCCTGATGTCGTGTATCAGGGTAGTCTTTTTTTCATGTCGGCCCTTTTTAAGGAGTTATGGCCCTTTGTTAGAAATGTTTGTTCTGATAACTCTTCCTTAACTACTATGACGATTTCAGCAAAACTGGTTTATCTGGGCTAACAAGGTTTGGTTTGCAAGTATGTTTGCCATTGGGAGGGAAGGGAGTACAGAAAGTATGTCAGTAACCTATATACTTAAATAAGTGTACAGCTCAGTGAATAAAGAAATCATTACTGGCGGGAAACTATGGTGGATTGCTTTGCAATGCTTTACCTTACTTAACCTTAGCNCGGCGCGGGGGGTATTATTACTTATTAGTTGAACTTAAGTGATTCCGAGACATAATAGTTGTTTTCATTTGACAATAGAATTTTCCATCGGAAACATACATTTGTTAAGTCATGTGATTTTGTTTTTTGATAGTCACACCATACATGTGTGAGCTGCAGTGTGTGATGAATTAAATAGAAGTGATATGAATAAGAATGTAAATTTGTATAATTGTCTGATAATTATTTTATTCCGATAGCACCTGTCTAGATTTCATAATTACGAACATATTCGGTCTATATAACTGATACACATCTACCCCAAATGACGGCCAAGTTTGTAATGAGTGTGGTATTAAAACCCAGAAGAAAAAAAATAACTTTTTGGAAGTCACAGATCTAAAACAAGAGGCCCAAGGGCCTTAGCGGTCACCTGAGTTATATCATAGGTACTGGTAGCTTTATTTTATTGTTTAGATGTGATGTGGAAATCAGTATGTAAACTAAGTGAAATACAATACTTGTCATGTCATCAATGGATAAGAATTTGAAAATATTGGTAAATGTTCCCTTTGGGGCCCCACCCTAGCCCCTGGGGATTGGGCAGGAATCCTAATTTTACAAAGTAAAACTCTCATTTACCCAAGATGATTCTGACTAAGTTTGAGCAATTTTCTGCTGAAAATCGATAAAATATATACCGAAAAGAGTTATTTCCCTATATAAACTATAGTAAACGTTACCCCCTCCCTAAGGGAGAACGGATAGCTCAGGATCCTGAAATTTCAATTTATATAAAGCCCCTGATGATCTTTCTTTCCACATAGAGAAAATCACTGTAGTACCTCTGAGTCTGAAGAAGAAGATTTTTGAAATATTGGTTAATTTTCCCTTTGGGGCCCCGCCCTGGCCCCATGGGTCGGGGTAGGAATCTCAATTTTACAATTTGAAACCATCTTCCTCCAAGGATAATTCTCACCAAGTAAAAATAATTTCCTACAGAAAGTTGTCAAAATATACCCAAAAGTGTTATTTCCCTATATAAACTATAGTAAACTTTACCCCCTCCCC